TGTGAGTCCTTTTCACCCATCCCAAACAACTTAAGGCAGCCTTGCCTACAGTTACCCGTCTAAAACACAGAAGAGTTTTATCTTCCAATAGTGGTTCCAAGAGGGAGGAGAGGGAAATGAAGGAAAGTGGGCTTCTCCCTAACCACCAGCATTTTATATTTTCCACTAATGAAAAGTAACTATATTTATAATACACACATTTTTAACAAAGAAAAGGATACATAATAGCAAAAAGAGGTTAAACATATTTAGCCTAAGGAAAAAAATAGTCTTCGTAATTTTGCCTAAATTATTGAAATTTTGTTATAAACCAGGGTTTTGGGATCACAGCTTGGAAAATGCTAATTGATTTTGTGGATTTAATGAGAAAAGAAATAGCTGGAAGTTGGAAACTGAGAGACACCAAAAAGAATCATGAGTGAGTTTAGAAACTGCCACTGTATACAGATGGAAGTTGCAAATTACCAACACAGAGAAATATGAAATTAAATTAATATAGGAGCACTCCAGTAAGGGGTCCTGCAGTATATTTTGATATTATTTATGCCAATAGTTAGATGCCTCACTTGATGTAGTAGAAAGTGGCCACCCTAAACTATATTCCATTTAAAATAACATATATTAGAAATTTAAACTTCATAAAACTGGCAATACAGCAGCAGACTGCTGAGCTGCACAGGTGGTAAAGTAGAAAAGCTGTAGGTCAAGAACCAACATGCCTGCCCAGCAGTGTCCTAATCAGAGCCAGTGTGTCTCCCACACATGTGGTAGAGTAGGAACAGTCTTCTCTATTTTAAGGAGGAATAAAAATACTCAGAGGTTTTGTTTAGACTCCAAACAATTTGGTTCCTTTTTCACAATACATTTTTAAAAAGGTATTACGTATAAAAATGTGATTTCCTGAATAAAGATTAATAAATTGTACTGTCAAATTTGGCTAGCCTCATTCACTCACCCTGACAATCCCTGAGCAAGCTGACAAAATAGAATTTCCAAATATGCAAGATCTAGAATCAGAGTCAATCCTTCAGACGCAGGTACCTCAGGAGTCCAAATAAAACATCTTAACGCACTAAATCATATTCTATCTCGAGTATTTTTACCTAACTTGGCAAAAAAAATTGCCTTATCACTCCATATCGTAAATCATGTCACCCCACTTACAGAATGAGTCAGGTTCCTTTTGCTCTTGGGCTTCAAATAAATACAAGAGGGTAAACTTATTAAAATGACTTGCCTAAATTCATGACATCATTTCAGCATGATAACTTTAATATTATGAAACTATTTTATTCTGGATATATAAATTAGTACACATACATATGTATACAAATAATTTTTCCCCTGTGAATCAAATAGGTAAAAATGTGAACGCTTGTAGCTGTTTATTAATTCAAATGCAAAATGTAAAAAGCATTTTTTTCTGACAAATAATTGTCAACCCCACTGAAGTGTCAATTAGAATTTGATTGTGAGTACCAGTTGACAGTTAACCTCTCATATTTACAACCACACAGTTAAATCACTCTGGAACATAAAAGTTAATTGCATGTAAAAGAAACTAATCAAATTACATAAATTAGAAATTACAGAAATCTCAGTGAAGTCTACTTTCTACATAGAAAAGTAGACCCTGTATAATCAAAGTTGACAAAAATACTCAAACAGATTTCCTCTAAACTGAAATTTTATTTATACAGGGTTCTAAATGTTTATGTAAATGACAATTGTTTCTGTCATAATATACATATTTAACTGAAATTGCACCTTCATTTGACTGGCACTAGGTATGTTGACAATGCTGAGCCAACATTTCCCAATGGGAAAATGGAAAAGTTAAAATTTTTAGACTCAGAAAAGCAGATTAGACCTTTTCCTGGACAATTTTGTCAATAGGCACAATTTATGATGCAAACCTAAGTGTCTTTAGTTTTGCCTTGTTAATTCCACATTTACAGAATACACTTTGATGATTTCCTCCCATGAGATTGTTTAAGAACATGGAACGACAAACAAAGTATTTGGTGCCCTTATCCACCAATCAATTAAAATCCAAAGCTTAAATAAATGGGAACATTATCTATTCATTGGGCATAAAAATCCTCATCTGAATTCAAGCCCTCATTCCATCTCATTATCCACTACAGTCAAGGAAGCCCAATGAGCTGTATTTAGTTTAGTAACTAGAAAAGGCACAGCTCTTGCTGTGAAGTGCAGAAGTTATTTGCATGAAAAGACAGGGGGAAAAACACATGATAGCTACACAACAAATTATGTGGGGTAGCTTCATTATTTTTCTAATCAGATGACTTCTCTAACATCATAATGAACTCAAACATCCAATCAATTTAAATTAATCAGTAATTTATATAATCTAATTATCAAGAAAGTGTCCTGACCGGTGTGGCTCAGTTGGTTGAGCATCAACCTGCAAAGCAAAGGGTGGCTGGTTCAATTCCTGGTCAGGGCACACACCTGGGTTGAGGGTTCAGACGCCTGTCTGGAGACATACGGGGGGTAACCAGTCAGCATTTCTCTCTCAAAACAATGTTTCTCTTCCTCTCTCCTCACTCCCTTCCCCTATCTCTTTTAAAATCTTTCAAGAAGAAAGTTATAAATTTTTCAGTGTTGTAATAAATAACATATAAAAAGGAAGTAATACAAGTGTGGTTCTGATTGTCTCTTTTTTTTCTTTTTTATAAGATACTTTCTTGCATGTATTTCTTTAAAAAACTTTATATGATAGGTATACACATATACTATATAAATAATAATTTTATTTTTCCTGTTTTCAAATCCATACTTATTTGCTATTTAGCAATGTGTCATGTTTCCAGTGTTAAGCTATTATCTCCCTTTTTATTAAAATTATATTCACAAATCTCATTTCTAGTTTTATCTTATGATTTCATACCCTACCCACTTTTTAAAGTATGGTAAGCCATATTTAAAATGAGTTAATCATCCTAAAAATGCAAAAGCTTTACCATAATTAAAGTGGGTCCATGTAAGAATATAGTTAATAGACTTATTAGTACCACAAAGAGGAGATTTTAAAAATTATCTTTTTTATAAGGTTTTAAATGTTCAACAGATTATTTATATTTTAATTCATTTTATTCAACAGCAAAACAAAAATACAATAATTTTCTCTGGCTATAAATAAATAGATATTTGAGTAATTATGCAACTCAATTTTCAAAAAAATCAGATACCTTTAGATCATCTTTTTTTCAATTACTGACTATATACAAGTAATTATTTTGCTCTGAAATTTAATTAACTCTAACAAGAATTCACTACCATAATATATAACTTTGTCTTAATTTCTTATCATATCAGCTTGACTATTTTGATCCAAATAGTCAAAGTGCTCAATTAAAAATAAAATACTTTTAGCTGTCCTAATTGCTTATTTATCAGACTGGGTTTATTCATTTTTTATGGGTAGATCTCTATATGTTTTGACTCCAGATTTTTCCTTAGATTCAATTTTCAGTCTCTTTGTAGTCACACAGGGACTCAAGGAGGCTGCTCTGAGTAATTAATGATTTTTTAAAAATATATTTTATTAATTATACCATTACAGTTGTTCTATTTCCCCCTTCATTCCCCTCCACCCTGCACACCCCCTCTCCTACCATCCCCCCTTTAGTTCATGAACACGTGTCTCGAGTTCTTTAGATTCTATATTTCCCATACTATTCTTACCCTCCCCCTTATCTATTTCTACCTACCGTCTATGCTACTTAGTTTCTGTACCTTCTCCCCCCTTCTCCTCCTCCCACTCCCCTGTTGCTAACCCTCCATGTGATCTTCATTTCTATTTTTCCGCTCCTGATCTAGCTGTCCTTTTAGTTTGCTTTTGTTTTAGGTGTGGTTGTTAATAACTGTGAGTTTGCTGTCCTTTCACTGTTCATCTTTTTTATCTTCTTTTTCTTAGTTAAGTCCCTTTAACATTTCATATAAGGGCTTGGTGATGAGGAGAATGATTTTTTATACCTATAAGAAGCAGTCCTGACCAGGTTCCAACAGACTCCCACAATTACCCCTTTGCTTTCTTACTTATTTCATCTCTCTCTGAGTAACTCCATACACTTTGGCTTTGAATGCAGTTTTTCAAGCCTTGTGGGTCACACTGTTTGGGCTGTGAGAGTACAATTTCCTGTTTAAAGAACTTAAGCTGCAAATGCACCTTCCTCAATCCATATCCCAATTGCCATATTGATAGGCCAAGAATTTCAATCCTAGATTCCTGAGAAAAAAGTTGAATTTACAGCAGAACATTTTATGTATTTTAAAATTTTATAAATATAATTCAAGTACTACAATGAGACTCTTTGGTGAATAAAAAGAATGTGTAAAATTGTCTGAGGACTCAGACTCACTATTTCTCTGGTCAGGTCATCTTTTGGAATTAATTACCTTTTCCACTACCTATCTCTAGCTATGAACCAGGAAGGAAAGAAGGAAGAATAGCAGGGTAGTCTTGTACTCTCCAGAGTAACTTGCTATTGTATCTTTTTTCCCTCTTTTTCTTATTACTAAAAACATTCTTAAGAGTCACACATCTTTTACTAAAAATTGCCAAGAAGATTGAATGCATCTCCCTGAGAACCCAAATGATTGAAACATCTGTCTCCTTCACCATCTAGAATTACACTATAAAGCATCTTCTATTTACTTAGATTCAGAGGCAATATGTTTATCAACTTCAAATTGATAACCTGGGTTTTATCCACTGTTTTCAGCAAAGTGAGAAAAAGGAGTTCTGGCCCTAGCCCTGTAGCTCACCATGCTTCCTTAAGTGTGTACAAGCATCATGCACAAGTGCCCATCAGTGCATTGCAATATTTTTCTAGTCTCCTAAGATGACATCCCTCTATTCTCTATCCCAGTGATTTTCAACCTTTGGCATCTCATTGCACACATAAACTAATTACTAAAATTTCAGCACACCAAAAATAAGTATTTTATTGCCAATCTGAAAAAAAGGTATAATTGCTTCTCGGCCTTTTAGCTAAGATCAAGTGTAGTATCTGTTCTTATCATTTTAATATCTGATATGTCCTCTATCTAAGGACATTATATTAACTGGGTTTTTATCAGCTGGGAGATGGAATAGGAGCTTGCTCTGTCCACTCCATGCACATAGACCTGGTTTTGAAGTACTTAGTGCACCACCCCCACACACAAAGGAGCTGTAATTTTGATTCTTTCATACCAGACAGCTATGGTTTTGGTAGCTGTTGTCAGTTTTTTTTTAATTTGACAATCTAAGGGAAAAGAGGTCAGTGACCCTGACTAAATGGTTAGGTATTGTATGTTTTAAAAATTCTTGCAACACGCCAGCATGTCACAGCACACCAATGGAAAATTGCTACTCTACCCAAACAAACCATCTTTTTCTCCAGACTAGCTCAATTTCTTCCTGTATTTTAAATCTTCAGTATATAGCTCCTAAACAACATGAAATCTTATTGCAAAATATCAAACCCTTTCTTTTGCTGATTGATCATGTATATCTACAGAACATTTTATAATTTTTTCATATTAAATACTCACGGGTCGATAGTATTGCTATTGCATATTTTGTTTGTTTTTTAAATTAAATTTAATGAGGTGTCATTGGTTAATAACACTATATAGGTTTTAATGTACAGTTCTAAGATGTGTTTGTCCAGAATTCATATGTATATTGTAAATTTCTTGAAAAAGCTTCATCTTTCTACAATTACGCTTTTGAAAAACTTCATCTTTGAATTCCCAGGCAGTAAGCATTCAAAAGATAGTTATCATTGGTTCATATAATCTGTCCCTGTATTTAGTAATACATTTAATTTTAATTTCTTGTTACTGAGATATATATATATATAAAAGTACTAATAATTTACAAAATTTCATGAGTAGAATGTGACATGTAAACCACTTACATTTCTATAGTATTTTTATTAATATGATTGAATTCTATAATATTTTCTCCTTCTATTCAATGGTTGAAAGTTTTGAATGATATCAATATGCAAACTAAAGTTGGCAGTCTAACAAAAAAACTTTTGATTCAAACTGTATAGGACAGGTAAGTCAAAATGTAATCTAAAAGTTAAGAGTTAAAAGAAATATTTAAAGATATCTTTTCCTGGGTGAAATAAGTGATGAATGTTTTTCAAGATGCTTGCTTTGCATGACATTCAATATTTGTGTTGTGTGTACAGGAGAGAAACTGAAATACAAACAGCATTTTTTCTATATGACAAAGGTGGGAAGCCAGCTATCAGGTACTTGCTGCCTATGGCCTTATGCATCGACACGTTACTGGCTAAAATGTGCTGTGTAGATACAACATTATACATTCAAAATCTGCTCTATTTCCAGCCTAAATTTTTATATTTAGATAATTTGATAGTTATCCTATAACTCATATTTTATTATTTGTGTCAGCTCAGCAATTGATACTAATGTGCAATCTCCACTCTTCTTGCTCAATTTCTTAAGTAATCACAAGTAATAAAATACATAGTATTTTATTTTATGGCTTATGATTTCCTCTTAAGTTGCATATAGATTGCCCTATAAATCTAATGTTCAATGTCATATTATTTGACATTAAATCTACCTGTAGTAAATGTGGCCACTTTACATAACTAAGAAAAATATTTAAGAAAAATATAAAATAATGAATGATGTTTTCTATTCAATCACAAATGTAATAATCATTTTTTGCTCATAGGTTTTCCTTTTGTACAAATAGTATAAAACGGCAATTTTAAAATTTTTTTATGTCATTGCATACATAAACTAGTTACTAAAATTCTGCAGCACACCAAACAAATATTATTTTTTGCCAGTCTGAAAAAAATTGATATAATTTGGAATCATTCATTCCAGAAAGCTATTGTGTTGGCTATTGTCATTTTTTAAATTTTACAGTCAAAGGGAAAAGAGGTCAGTGCCCCTCACTAAATAGTTAAGTGTTGAATGTTTAAAAATTGTTGTGGCACACCAATTGAAAATCCCTGATATAGAATAAGAAGTATATTTTGATTTGCAACATTGTAAATTCCAAATTAGACTTTATTATATATTATATTAAGGCATATTTACTTATTAAGGTAGTGAATAGTGTTAGAACTGATTGAAGTGCAGAGCAAATAATTATTTGCATATCACAAATAATTGAGTTATATTTAACATATACACATATATAACATCATTACTAAAATGATTTTTATATTTTGAAAATTAGTGAAAGCTAAATATTACACATTCACTATTGTTTATTTGTTGCAGATAATGGACAGATAAATTATATGCCTGCTTGAAGGTATATCACAAAGACAACTTGGAATAATAAAATAAATACAAATTAAGACTGAATCTTGAAATTAAAAAAATGTATTAATAATTTCTAACAGAAATCTGACAGAAATTATTCTCAGGTGAATAGCAAAACATAAATTATAGAAACAAGATTTTCACATTTTTAAAGGACATTTTATTGAATCAATAGTACATATTAGATAAAGATACCCAAAATGTCAGAAAGTGGTTAAAATAATAAAAGCATGTAGAAAACCCCATAACTCCCTAAATCTGTATTGTTATTCTTGTAGAGAATGAATCAGTTATGCTCAAAGCCAAAATGTCTCCCTTAGCCAGGCAGTTTACAAATATCTGATATTTCTTGCATTGGGAACTCAGTGACTGAGTACCCACACCTAATATCACTGTTCCAAGGTTTTTAAAACAGGTGTAAACAGCATAGATTTTTCATAAAAAAGCATAATTTATTTTGGACTTAAAATTTAATAAATCTGTAGGACAGATAGAAAATGGGCCTACTCAGTCCCATAGTTCTTACTTCTCTTGTATCTACATTTTCTTTATACATATATTCAGAACCTACTTTTGACAAGTTTGGGAAATATAAGGGTCTTTTATCATTCTGGATATATTGCTTTTACAGACCCCAAAGCATAGTTACAATGATTGGGCTAAAATGTATTCATTTCTTTATTTATTGTTTATTTATTCAATTATTTAAAAATACTCATACAAGAATTCTTGTATGTGAGAGGAAGTGGGCTAGGTGTGTGTAACCTTTAAAGCAATAAATGTACGAATGCAGTCACTCATGAAACTGACTTTCTAGTATAAATAGCACGCAAGAGATTTTAAAAATTAAATTTATTGGGATTACATTTGTTAATAAGATTATGTAGGTTTCAAGTGGACAATTCTATGACACATCATCTGTATTGTGTGCCCACCACCCAAAGTCAAATCTCCTTCTGTCACCATTTATTTGACCCCCTTTACCTTTTAGTGCCCCCCTAGCCCCATTCTCACTGGTAACCACCATACTGTTGTTTGTCTATGAGTTTTGGTTTGCTTGTTTGTTTTTCTTATTTGTTCATTGGTTGCTTTCAGTTTTGTATCCTACATATGACTGAAATCATATGGTTCTTAAATTTTCTGTGTGACTTATTTCACTTAGCATGATACTCTCAAGATCCATCCATGTTGTCTCTGCTGACAAGATTAGATTTTTTTTTATGGCTGAGCAGTATTCCATTGTACACACATACCACATCTTCTTTACCTAGTCCTCTATCAAAGGACACTTCAGTTATCTCCATGCCTTGGCCACCATGGATAATACTGCAGTGAACATAGGGGTGCCCATATCCTTGCAAATAAATGTTTTCAAGTTTTTCAGGAACATTCCCAGAAAAGGCATCACTGGGTACATGGTAACTCTGTTCTTAATTTTTTGAGGAGCCTCTGTACAGAGGACACAATTTAATTCGAAATTTTTTAAGACAGCAAATGGTTTCTCAAATAAAAAAATAAGTCAAAATTGTCATAGGGGAGATGGCAAAATTATTATTACAAGCAGAAACTCAAATTTTACTGTTTAGGTAACTTCCTAGTCCACACATTAATATCAACTAGACTGATTTCTCTTCAGTAAGAGTCCTTTCTTGTGTATTTGTGTAAGAAAATCTTTAGATTAAATTTGTTTCAAGTTATGTCATTTTCAAGTACCATTAAAGTGGAAGTTGCATCCATCTCAACAAAACAATAACAATAAAGAGCAAATATTAAAGTATATGGGTTAGAGCCCTGGATGGTGTAGCTCAGTGGATTGAGCGCAGGCCTGCAAACCACACAATCGAGGTTCGATTCCCAGTCAGGGCACATGCCTGGGTTGCAGACCAGTTCCCAGCAGGGGATGCACAAGAGGCAACCATACATTGATATTTCTCTCTTTCTCTCCTTCCCTTCCTCTCTAAAGATAAATAAATAAAATATTTAAAAAACTGTCTTATTTGAGTTGATATAATAAATTTATATATATATGTGTGTGTGTATATATATATATATACATATATATGGGCTAATCCATATAATTCATACTTAATTAACCCACCCAATTTTTTTTCAGGTTGGACTGTCCAAATGAACCTAATACAAAGATAAAGGCATGAAAGAGCCCTATTCCCTGTTTATGCATAATCTCAGTAGTAAGTTAATGTTTCTTAAGTGATATTTCAAAATATATAGCAACTATTCCCTATATGCACCTAAGTTTTATGCTAAATCCTAAGCTACATTAAGATACTCATATTCTAAATAATAAAATAAAAAATAAAGGAGAGTGAAGAAATGAAAAATAGTTTAAAAAAATTGAAAGCCAGAATTCAGCTTATAAAAGTCATCTATGAATCAGAGTTCTCTTTGAACTTATTAGAAAGTAATTAAAATAAAGCAAACCCCCTCAAAAAAAAATCCAGGATAGAAGATTGATGAATAACTTAGTCCCTCTCTTTGCACATTTATAGTGCTCCTGAAAGTTTCAAGAGTCTTTAAATCAGAATTATCCTCATGATATAATAGTTAAAAACAAATGCAAGTGGAGAAATAAACTCTCCATGTATGCTAAGTCTAAGGGAAAGACTTGAAAAATATTTTCTTCTTAATACCATATTGGGTTTCTATTTGATTCAGTTCTGTAAAGACATTTTAAGCCTCCTACAGAGAACTAAGCTAGACATAAAACCCAAAACATTCAACTGATCAGTTAACCCATTTTTTTCAAAACTTTTATCTCAGGTGCTGTCAGGGAGGAGGAGGGTGAAAAGATTGGATGAAAGAAGGTGACAGGATTAGCTAAAAATCTGTA